ATATATATATATATATATATATATATCTCTCTCTCTCTCTCTCTCTCTCTATCTATATATATATATATATATATATATACATACACACTCTCTATATATATATATATATATATATATATATATATATATATATATATATATATATATATATATATATATATATATATATATGTATATATATATATACCGTAAATGAATGAATATATGTATATATCTATAATATCTTAGATATATGATGCTTATGTCAGATACAAAGGCAGATATGTTCATATAAATATTCCTGGAAAATGGAAACTGAAGTCATAGGCATACATACACAATACACATGTACGCACAATACAAAACATTTTATATATAAATTGCTTGTCGCGTTTTAAAGAAATGATGAAATTTGATGAGATGGTTTCTCTTTGTTATTTTTAATTTATCCTCGGTTAGACCATATAAGCAAATGAGTGAAAATAATTTTGTATTATGAGCCAGCACTAAAAATAATATTATGTACACAGTAGTATTTTGATAAAATTATTCCAAATATTTTTATTATAATAACTGTGCTATAAATAAAACTTAATTAATTTATATAGTGCAATTAAACGAAAATAGATTAAAATAATGAGAAAATATTCCATGTTATAAAACTACGTTTCAAATGCATGCACCCATTTCATCATCATTTCTAATCACGTCAACTTTGGATAAATGCGTAGATCTAACAGGAAAAATCTAACAGCGTAGATTTTTAAATCGGATTTTATAAAACTTTTATTATTATTTAAAATTTGTTAACAATATTTTTTGGTCAATAATTATGTTATGATGTGGTTAGAAAGATTGAATGGTAATAACTTGTTTCCTAATAGAAATTAACAAAGGTGAGTTGAGTTGATGGTTATATTATAAAAAGACTTATAACATTCAATGTGCCTAAAAATATAAATTGTTTTTAAAAGTTCTCTAACCTAAATTTAAATAGAAAATACAAATTATTTATTTTGTAAAATTATTCAAGAGACAATTTTTTAATTAATCTGAATACTTAAACACTTCTATTTCTCCTTGCTAATACTACTACTTCTTCTGTTCTACAACAACTACTACTATTACTGCCACTACTACTTCTGCTATTACTACTACTAATATTACTGCTGCTGCTACTACTTTTACTACTTCTACTACTACAACAGCTACAACTTTTATTACTAATGATGATGATGATTGTTGATAATATCAATAATTATAAATTATACTAACGATAATTTATTATACCAATAATGATAACAAAAATGACAACAACTAAATAAATAATATTATCAAAATAAACATTTAAAAATATTTTGTAACTACACGAAACAAATTCACAGCAGCAAATGACGAAAGGCACAAAACTAATTATATTTGATTGACCTTTAACGTTTACGGGTCACTACAAACCACAT